GCAACTGAGATTTGAAAATGTCCAGGAAATTAATTTTGGGGGAAGAAAGGAAGTTATTTATAGAGGAGGAAAGGTGGTATTAGTTAATGCAAGTTACCTTTGATCATTTTTTTTTTTTGTCAAGATGGTTGAAAATGAAAAATGGGAAAAAGAGAACAGCAGCTGGAACTATCAAATGTTCAGGAGCCATCGATCTGTTTCACTCTAGGACAAAAGGTAGAAAAATGCCTGCATGTCTAACACTAAGAGAAACTGATAGCATGATTTAAATTTGAGGCAATAGTCACCTAAAAAGAAAAATCGATGTCACTGAGGAAGAGGTGAGTTTTAAAAAACTTTGCAATAAATTATCCCTGAAGTGCATTTTTTAAAAATCATAAAACTTTCCTTAAAATTCATATGAGTAAGGCCCAATATTCATACTGGCTGCTAAATTGCAGTTTAATACATGACAAATTTTGAAGTAGTTAGGCCTTTTGTAATGCTAACAAAGAATCCATCCTTAAGGAGAGTTGTGGATGGTTAGTAATGATCAAGGGAGAAAAGTCATTAGGATAATGTAATTTTTGTGGAAAAATTAATTGAATTTCATCCATTATTTCCCAGCTACAGCTAGTATATTTAAAATGAAATTACACAGGACATAACCCATCTGCGTGGTTTTCTGTAAGCAAATATCAATACTTTTTTGGTTTTGGAAAATAAAATTGGAGTGAAAAATGGAACACAGCCATAACAGATACATGTCTGTATTGGTTTTTCAGTACTGAATTACAGATGTGGACAGAAGTAAATCCAGAGTATTGTTTCCTCTCCCTCACCCCCCCTCATTCTTAAATATTTTCATCACTTTCTGCCTGACTTTAGAAGAAAATAACATTTAAAAAATAAACTGCTTTTATAAACATATATACAGGCAATTGTAACTGAGTTCCTTAAAAACATCAGTCATTACCAAGGTCAAGTAGGCAGGTCATTCTCTGAGAAAATTGTTCAGTCCTGGCTTGTTTGTATTTGAAGCAAGCACAGGGAGTCAGCTTCTAAATTCAACTAAAATTTTTTTATTGACAAATCAAAATCACTGGAGATTTTTTGTCCACAGGCATAGCAAGAAGAGCTATGTCATTTCTTTTGGGAACTTTGTTTTATACCTTTCCAGCCTTAGAGATTTTTATAGCTTAAATTTATTTACAAGCATACACAATCAAAGATTTAAGACGGTAATTTAAATTGGGAGTAATTTCTTTTAAAGGAAGTAAACTTCCTTTATTTTGAGGTTAATGAAATGACTACGGAATTAAACATAAATAGAATTCAGTCTAAAACTTTGGGTTTTTATGTTTGCTTGATCACAAGTACATTCAAGCTATAAGGGTTTTGGAGAGTAGTTAAAGTGCAAAATGGCATTCCCAAGGTACCCTTTGATTTTCCTTCTGGCCTGGACTACGTACAGAAAGAATAAAAAGCCTCATGTTTTCTCCATTCTCTTTTATTCAAAAAAATGCCTAACTCACACATGAAAGCCTGAGAAAGGACTAGTATGCCCAAAAGCTTGGGATTTTTGCCTGCCGTGTCACTTGTCTTAGTAAAACAGTTTACTTCAAATCTCACCTACTTTAGATGTGAAAAGATATTTCTGCCATGTTAATCCCGCTCTTGTTTTCGCACTAGGGTTGTCAAACTGCCAAGATCCCTCCTTGTCCCTGGTAGGGAGGGGTCTAGCAAAATACAGGTCCTTCCATGGCTATTGCGAGTCTTGTCTCAAGAAATCCTTCGGTGAAGCAGGCTCCGCACAAGACAAGATTCAGCTCTTGTGCCAGTCAAAAGGGAAGCCCGCACAAACTCGTCATACGACCTCCCCCAACTCTGCTCCTGTAAGCCCATGGCTGCTTTATGCCTGCTCTTCCTCAGTAGTTTTGAATGATGAGGATGCAGCGGGACAGAGCCTTTTTAACAGGTAGAGCCCCTCGTTAGATTTTTTTTGTGTCGTATCGGGAGGCAGGGGAGGGCAGTTGAGAAGTGGAAGGTGTGATCTGGCTTTTGAAGAGTGCTCAGCTGAAGCTTTTTGATGCCTTGATGGCGTAACAGTGACACTGCAGATGGAAGATTAGGACAGTTGTGGGATTTGGAGTGGCCTGTTTGCCTTTCCTCAGCAAGGGAAGATGAAGTGGGAAAATGGTATCTGTAAAGGAGGGGGAAAAAAACCCAACAACCAGAACTAGGATCTCTAGTTGGAATTCAGGTGGCTGCAGTTTAAATTACCTCTAACAGTCTGGCTGCTGATTGCTACTATTCATGAAAAGTGGCTTTGTTTTAGTTCTGAAAGATCCCAGAGCAACTGCTGTGCCCTGAGTTTTCTTCTCTGAATCACTAAAATGTTCTCTTTTCTGATTTTCTCTCTTGACCTTCTCCTCCTACTCACCTCTTTCAACATGTATTTAGCTACGTTCAAATGGATAGCGAGGAAGTAGTTTTCTGTCTGTGTTTCATATGGCCACGGCACTACTGCAAAGTGCCTTCCTTACATTTTGGGAGGAGTCGGCTGATGGAGGAAGGTTAGTTGGCTGAAGACTAGATAATGTGTCAGCGTTGCTACCAGGGTACGAGGAGCGACTCAAAGGCATAGTGACGGTTTTATCTGACTTTTTGTCGATTCATGGCATGCGCTTCTGGGTACCCCAGTCCTGTTAAACAATCACATGGCAATCAGCTTGGATTCTTTCCCTGGCAGGTGAGTGTCAGACTGAGCCTGTTTCAAATGCAAACGACGCTGTCGTTTGTGCAGTGGGGCACAGCACTTGACACCCTGTCCTGTCTTGGCAGCTCAAAGGGGAGCAGAAGCGCACGGATGCAGCCATCCTCTCTGTTACCTTTGTAGCCCATTACCTACCATCTGGGCTCCTCAGCCCGGTGCCCTTTGCCGCTGCTGCTGACCTCAACTTTTAAAATTAGCTCTGACATGGTCTCTAGTTAGGCAATACACGGCCGGGATGATTTGTAAAGCCTGACATTTTACAGGACTCTCCCTGTACTGTATTTCCATGCTTGAGAGTGAAGATTGTTGTGCTGGGCCTCAGCAGTTGAGCTGATAAGGTCTTCTTCAGGAATGACACCCCTTTCTTTTTGTTTTTAACCATATTCCCTTTTTTTGTCTGAAACAACTAAAATCTGTTGACCGTCAAGTTACAGTGATGCTTATCTGTTCATTGAGAAGGGAAGAACTTGATTACAGTTAGGATCCTGGTTGCTTGGACTGGTATTTAAGGCTACATTTCTTTCTCCTTCCTGATTTCTAAGAGACTGTTAATTTTACTGTAATAATAGTAATCCTTGATTGGAGTTTTAGTATAGTCCTAGATCAACAGAGAAGGGCTTTCAAATGGACAGTGCGAATTATAAATCCTGTGCTAATGATATAATACAATCTCCTAGAAAAATACCTGTTAGTTTCACTGCTATTTAATGGCATTCTTATTTTGGCTGTTGAATCCCATCTACCTAAATCCTAGGTATATTCTAAATCAGATGTGCTCTGGAGAGCTTAGCAATAGTAACGTTAATTGTTCACATAGTGCTGACAATATGTAATGATTTGAGTAGTGCATCCTTTGATGCTGTATAGTGTTAATGATAGCAATAGTAAGCTTTGCAGTTGATGACATCATTTGCCTTGAAGGATCATTTCAGATAACAAAAACCAGAGATTTGTTGTGAGAGAACTGGTTGCTCACACACACAAGCACTGTTTTTCTTCCCAATAGAGAAGTTATTTATTGCTAGGACACCAGCAGTTTCTCTTATCACAAGGATATGTTGTTGATAATGCCTGTACAAAGCCCCCTATTTCTAGACACATACTGTGAATAATCAGAATCTGAGAAATGACTTTATTCTGAGCTAGGTAAAATTACAACAGGAAATATAAATGCAACTGCCTGTCTAATGCTCTGGGTTCATCGGTTCCAAACATTTTAAGATCATCTTTTTGCCTGCATTTTCATTTGCATCCTGTCACTGGATTGCCTATGAGCTGTCAAGTAAACTTGCTGCCTAAAATGCTCATAATGTGGTTAAAATAACTGATATTTTGATACACCCTGTTTTGTGCTTTCTGATTGTATACTGTGTTACCAGCGCAAAGTTTTCTGCTTAACTATAAGCTAAGCACTAAGTGACATATGCTGGCAAGATACCTGTTCCATAGTTTTTCATGATTATGTTTCTTGTGCGTTCTTTCAAAGCCTCTCATACTACCAATGTGTTTTCTGAGTAACTGTAATGTTGCTTTAGGAATAACCTTACAGCTGTTCAGAGGTAATCAAAAAACTCCACCCACCAGCATTAGCTTATGACTGAGCCTGGTTAATAGATTGGCTCTGATCTCGAGTAGCTACCATCAGATGGAATATCTGGAATATCGTTAAGTAATCTGAACTGGAAAATTAAAGAGGGTTTGCAGCTGTGTGATGGGAGAGATCGGAAAGACTGTTATTGTATGAATCCTGTTCTGCCCATATTGCTGCAGGAAATGGTCCTGGCTCTTCTATAGTAATATGCTTTATGAAACACCCTTAGAAACAATCAGTTCTCCCCAACATCAGCACTGCTACACAGGGGTTAAAATCAATAGGAGCTTGCTGGCTAGAATCCAGTTTCTATGCATTGCTCTGGAAAATGGAAGGGCTAGACTTTGTATCAGATTAAACTGAGTTAAAGTAGATTGAGGCTTAAGGATTTTTCCATCAGAACGTGAAATATTAAAGATAAACAATTTTACCTTGTTCGTATATTATTTCATTTCTATTTTCCTGATTCAATATTAAGCTGGATTCTAAGAATTCCTGTTGTTTACTGCACTAGCACTCCAATTCAGCCAAGAGAGTACTGAGAATGTGACATGTTTCTGTGTCTGCTTAAAGTCCAGATTTCATTTGGTACCTTTTACTTGTTTTTGTTGCTAGAACATGGGCATTCATATTTATGACCATTTTGTTTTTCAGCACCTCCCAGATGGCTCTGTGCCAAGTGCACACGCTGAATTTTATCTTCTGCCAGATCCTTATGAGGTCAGTCGAAGGAAAACAAGAACAGCTCCAAAAAGCTCTGACCCTACTTACAATGAAATTGTGAGTACCATTCACTTTTTTCCACCATTTCTTACTTGTTTGATTTTCTTCGTCTACTCTTGAAATAAAATGACAATATAGCATTTAGTTACCACAAGTACGATCAAAAAGAAGGACCTTATTATAAGTTGAACAACAAATGGGGACAATCTTCGGCTTTGCATCTTTCTCGGAAGTGAAACAGTCTCTTTATGTCTCTCTTATTATTCACACTGCCCTATCTTACACCATAACCACAGTTACATGTTACCCAAATGAGACCAAGCATCATTGCACCAAATCCTAGGCTGCTTTGAGTGCAGATTTGTACAGTAACATGTACAATTGAGTGGATGCTGTTACTCAAATTCACATTTGAAAGCAGACAACCAAATTGGTTGTCACTGTCCTAAATGGTAACACAATGATAAATAGCCCAGTTCTTTTTATGTCAAAATGCTAGCAGTTCACAACCATATATAATTATTTCACACACATACCACTGGAGTGCTTGCACCTCTGGGGTGAAGAGAAGCATTTGTGTGGAGAAACATTTACCACAGAATGGGAAGTGGCATAAACTATATTCTTTTGTAAGGGCAGATGAGATTCAAACAGTAGGTGGGATTGGAGATTATAATTATTACATATAACAAATCTCCTAGAGATCTCAAAGCAATTTACAAATGCACTTTGAGCAGGCTTTAAAGTAGAAGGCATGGAAAATATTACCACTCCACCCTGTTTCATAGATAAGATACGATGAAGTCTAAGTTAGTCATCCGAGACTAAGAGTCCTTATCTCCTGGTTTCCCGGTCCTGGAGTTTTGATATTTTTCTTTCTCTTTTCCCACATCTATTTGATTACAAAAGTTACCTACTTACACTGATGACTTCCAGCACTTCTGTAAGTAGGCTTCTCGAGTAGTATTGCTGCTAACAACTGAGACAAATTTCCCTCCCTACAGTTCTGCAGTGGAATAACAGGGAACTAGGCTTTATTTTTTTGTTATGTTCTTTCCTTTTTTTGCTGTCAAAGAGACAGTGGAATGAGTCTAATTGACCTGTCTAAAGAAACTCCTTTACATTTGAAGGATACTTAAAGCAAAGAAATAATATAATACGATTATATAATAACATTCATTGTAAAATATCCAAAATGGACTACGGACAAGAACCAGCCAGCAATGCTGGAAGACAATTGTCTTTCTAATCATTATTAGATCAAGTTGAATGCAAGAAAATCCAAAATCCTGTCTGCAGTCAGACAGTAGTCACTGGGAGGAGATTTAATTGTGGTTAAGGAGCACTCCAATGCTGTTAAGAGAAATTCCATTAAAACTTTAATATCCTTTACTCAAAACTTACAGCCTTCTACACAGATGCTTGGTCTTTTTCACCAGGAACTGCTAATCACAGTGGGGACATATGGTTCTGTTGAACCTGGACATTTCAAACCCAATGCTTGTGCTGTTAGCAGCTCTGTTCTTCCATATGTGATATCATTCTGTATGCATTTTCTATCCTAGTCTGGTAGACTGAGGCAGAAGCTGCCCCAGGGAAGAAAAACTACTAAAAATATGTCAGCTGTCTTTTAAGTTAGTTACTGTCCAAACCGCTGTGTACAGAAATGTACTAGCCTTTTTTATGAGTTCATAAGTTTTTATTAAAGCCAAATGGCTGGAAGGAAGCTGTATATTAATTTCTCTCTCTGTTCGAGACTGAGAAAATTCTGAAATGTGCTTCTCTTGGGTATTTTTGGGTTTAGTTTTATACTTTTATTGCTTATGACTGCCTACAGCAAATTATCAGCCTTGCAAAAGTACATTTTATTTCTGATTTTTACTCATGCGTGTGAGAGTAAAGATGTGAAAGTCCAGGAGGGCTGATAATAGAATGAACCATGCCAAATGTTTTGGAGTTGCTTTTAACAAGCACTCCTTTTTTTTTCTTCTTCCTTTATTTGGATTTTGGAGTTTGTTGCATTCACGCTGGTATGACATTGCATTAAAAATGATGGTTGAGAAGAAGAGAAGAAAGAACACAGAAAAATGGAATGCAGTGTAAAGGGAAAAAGAATAACATGCCTGCTTATAGACCACTGTTAGGAATAAATAAGACTTGCTTGGGAGGTTGTGGAGTAGTTTAGTGAAAACTAAGAAAGTAAAAAAAAAATTTAAATAAATCTGTATGATTTAGGTTTAGAATCTTGCCAAGAAAAGTTGCAATGACCAGAACCAACTGCAGTGGGGTCTTGCTCATAGGTGTAGCAATTGCCCTGAGACGTGCTTCAAGGTCTCGGTGGTCCTCAGTTTGTCTCTGGAGCGCCTGCATGTATGCGCACCCACAAAACGAGCAAACCTCCGAGGCGAAGAAGAATGTGCGTTGCCATAAGGAAGCCAGAACGAGAGGCAACTCTCTCCGCCCCGCCCTTGGGGTGCAGCCAAACGTGAGCAAATATACCTGGGCCGTATCCGTCCGTTAAGTGTTATCGCAGTTGCCCTCAGAGCAGAGGGGACGCCGGCCTGCAGCAGCCAGAACAGCGCAAGCGAGCCTGATGCCGGCGGGAGGCGGGGGCTGCACCAGGAGCCACAGCCGCTCCCTCCAGCACCGTGCGTCAAAGCTAATTTGGACAATCAAGAGCAAATCTAGGAACGGTGCCATGGCTACCTAAGGAGAAGCAACTGTCCCGCATTTGCGATTAAAATGTCATTAGACTCCTGTAGGTCAACAGCGCTTCTCTTTTTGGAGCCAGGAATACTTGAATTCCAGCCCTAACTGTCCCACTGATTTGCTGCATGGCCATGTATAACTCACCTCCATTTAATCTGGCTGTATAAATGGGAGGCAAATATTCTTGCTACACAATCATTTCAGGATTTAACTGTTCTGATTATGAAATTCTGGCAGGTGGCATTTGTTTTATCCACATACTAATTCAGCTATCTCCAGACCTTTCTTCTGTCCCTACATCCTGATGATATATACCTTGCTCCAGCTGAATTTGCAATACCATTTTAGACACGGTTTATTGGGATCATTTGAAAAGCAGCCACCCTGCGCTATAAGGTCTGTCATTGCTCAGAGCCTCTTTTTGTCCAAAGATTGAAAGTCGTTCATTACCCCAGTTCACGCCTGTTGTGATCCACTGTACTGAAGATTTCTTAGCTCTTACAGCTTACAAGTACACTTTTTGGTGATTTAAAGCAACAGCTGAAAATGATATCCTAAATATATTGGTGAAGAAACAAGGCACCTTTCTACGGTAACATTAGTATCACTTCAGTAATCAAATCATAGGTTTATTCTAAATTATATTATCGCTTACTGTACCTGTCCTTGCTTTTTGGATTTTCTTCATCATTTCACTTTGATTTTGGTGGGGAGATGCCACTGAGTGACAGAGAAGCTGGAATTTTTAATTCACGTACATACTTGGTGAAATAGGCACAGTAAACATCAAAACCGAAAAGCGCCAGGCGCAACTTTCATGCCAGCTGTTCCAAGCTACGATTTCCCAAGGTTTCTAAATGGAAAAGGAAATGTTGCTCCCTGCTAAGACCTTTCTAGTAAAAGCCAGTTAAAAAGAGGGGGGGAGGGGGGCAGTTTTTCTTTCCGCCACGACCTGTGGCAGTGGCCATTTGTCCCCGCAGCACCCACTGTCCCCTTGCACCAGAGGGCTTGGTCTCCTGTCTGTTGGTGCTTGCTGCCGGAGCAGCCTGGTGTCGTGCCTTGGTGCTCCCTGCGACACCCCTGCAGCTTGCAGCGCAGACAAAATCACTCTGTGGCCCCACAGGGGCAGCCCGAGGACAGCTAGGGTGTCTGGGCGAACCAGCAGTTTTGTGCCTCCTGGGTCCGTCCACCCGCGAACTTCAGAACCACCTTTCTGTTGCCACTCAGCGTGAGGAGCATTGCTGGGGCTGAGCCTTTATAGACTTTATCCCTGTCTGAATGACCTCTCCCACGGCTATTTCTGCTGCTTATAACTGGAGGTACGGAGAGGACTCGGCAGTCCAGCCCACAGAGATCCAAGCTAGAGGGGGCTCAGGCTGACTTTTCTTTTCCTCAGCAGAGCCGTATGTATAGACTGCATTCAGATTGCGCAGTAAATCCAAGCAGGTTGCATGGCAAACTCCTTTCAGGCATTTTCGCTTTCCCATTCTCCTGAAGTGACAGCATGTCACTGCGTTTGCTTTTTAAACTGCACAGAGAGATTAAAATTTAAAGCATTTTCCATTGCAACTAAAATGGCAAAAACATTTCCAGCCACACAAATTTTAGATTAAATGTACTTCTCTTAACAAAGCTTACCTTTCAGGCCTGAAACTAGCTGAGCACATCCGTTCACATTTTATCAACCCACGTGCAGTTCACTCAGCGGTTTTTGATTAATGCAGAGACTGAAACATAGGAATCTGTTCTGAATGCAGCTCATTCTTGTTAGCCTATCACTCCAGATTGTTTTTTTTTTTTAAATTCAGAAAACACACCATTAACATTTCATAATTAACCTCAGTATGTTGTCGTAGTATTAAGGTAATTTCAAGGGTATTTTAAAAACTACAGGCCTTAGTAATTTTCTAAAGAGATGCTAAGCAAGCTGTCTCATTTAATTTGAGATGCATTAACAGCACTTCTTGAGTAGCAGAAACATCCAAATTTAGGAAGTTCCACTTGCTAAATTGGGTCCAGTCTCAGAGATGTTCCACATCTACAACTTCTATTGAGTGGGCTGAGCTTTCTGTCATGTTTAATATTTGGTGGTTCCATTAAAAAAAATGGAAGTATTTTTATAATGGGCACATTTGGATGCAGTTAGCATCCAGAATCATGCATGAAGTTATTTGTGTTGAAATAGTAAAATTTATACAGATAATTTTCAAAGGAAAATTATAATCTCTTTTATGATGTGGGTTTGTTGGATCTAGAACAGTTACGAAATTTTATGGAAGCCGTGGTTAGAAGAAAATTTGGGTTTGCTTTGGCTTGATCTTTTTTAATTCTGGTATGTAGCATAAGATTTAATCACAAGTACAGTATTGAGAAAAAATTCTGAGGTACTGTGCATTGAAATGGTACACCTTTAAGAGACATATCAATGCAACATAAAGTTGCTTTAAGGCACTACTAAGCAACATGTAACAAATACAATATATGTAGGTTAAAAAAAATTGCCATAAAAACTGTTTTCCTGGTTTTTTTCTCATTTTTGCGGAAAAGCAGTACCATTTATCAGAGCATCTGCTATGGAAACATATTTTAAAATTATAATAATCTGCACTTTTACAGAATTACCTATCTTATGTTTTCATGCTGCTGTCCATGATGAGTACCCTCCATCTGAATCTCTCCTCCAGAAAATCAACCATATTGTCATTCCATGGGGAACTTGATGGAGTATCTGATATTGCTTCACATTTGAGTTCAAAAGTCTGCTTAAGTTAGAGTTTCAATTTTCAAAAGGAAAATTATGTATACCTATTTTTTTCTCAAGCATTGCACAACATAGGTTTCAAATTTATTTACAAATGCTTGGTAATCAGATTTCACAAGCCTAAGCTGTCAGAATCTCTTTTATATAAACTACATAAGGTCAAATATATTTCTGAGGTAAATTCACTAACTTGAGTGAATTTGGCTCATGCTTAGTAGTTTATAATTCTGGAGGGCAGTTTAAAGCAATTATTACAAAGTTGTAGTCATCATCTTGAATGCTGTATTGAAGTTTTTTGCCTGTCAAATAGATTCACAAATTCCTATCTTTTTTTCTGTTTCACTACATATTATTTCAGGTTGTGTACGACAAAGTCACAGAGCTCAAAGGCCATGTACTGAAGCTTGTTGTGAAAAGCAAAGGAACATTTGTGGGAGCTGTTAACATTCAACTGAGCAGTGTCCAGTTAAATGAAGAAAAGTGGTATCCACTGGGAAACAGTGTAATTTAAATGTTGTCTAAGATAATTCAATTATTTATCCACTAATGTTTCTTTATCCCATTTCCCACGGCACATTTTGTCTCAGTTGCCCTTGAGAATATGCAGTCATCTGCTGATCACATACCTTAACATTTCTAATCATAAGGCTATTGTCTTAAAATTGCTACCATCTTCCTGCAACTGATTCCTGTCAGTGTGAGTTCATGAAATCTCATGCTAGAACTTGTAGCAGCATGCAGGAAATTCTTATGACAGCAATAAAGATTTGTTTTGTTCGTATTAAATAGTACTGTAAAAATACTAAATTCTGTACACGTCAAAGTGTGGGGCCTAATTCTTTGCCCATTATTTCCACTGACTGTGTTGAAAAAATGCTGATAAAGGTGTAATTTATCAGCATCTATGACCCCACTGCATATGATGATTTCACCAGAGAACCATGGGATGGTTGCCTGGGTGCCAATGCATTTCAGATGTCTAGCAAATCTAATGTTGAATTTTATACAATCAATACATTTAAAAAAAAAAAAGAATTTAAAAAAGCTTTGAGGTTTACACATTTTGTGCAGTATATGTTGGTGTGCTTTTAACTTCTGATATAATGTAACATTCAATCCAGGATATTCATTTGTCAGTAAGATATGCGATTGTTTCTTTTATGCTGACATCCAAGAAGCAGATATGACTGGTCATTTGTGAGAATAAAGGATAAAGCTAATATACACAAAGAAATAAAACATACTGAATGTGAGCTTTCAGTGTGGCATTTATTTAAGATCATGCTATAAGGAATCTTTGTTCACCAGTCCTACCGCATTACATTCTTATGCTGCATAAGGGAATCAAGTCAATACATGCATTGACCTCGGGGCTATAAAATGTATATATACGTATTAAACAATGAATGTGAGTGGTTCCTTTGAGTTCACTGAGGCTAATTTTGGGCTCTGTTCTTCAAAGCATTTTTACCTAAATTGAGGAAGCACTTAAGCACATCTTTAAACATTTAGCATGTGCAGCCATAATGAACTGTCCATTGTTGCCAGCCTCTTACACACACGTTGCTGACCATGTATATATACCTTTCCAGGACACACATTTTTAAGGCACAGGAGACATGTTGATTTGTGATCTGATCTGCTGTAAAATTTTAAGTTACCGTATACTGAGTAGGTCTGACATTCGTCCTACCAGGTGGAAAAGTGGTCAACAGAGGGATAATAATGCCAGAAGCTGAAGATAATTGCCTTTTTCTCCCAAAGGACACTCACAGATCAGTCTTCAGAAGGTAATGTTGTATAAAACTTCTGATGTGGGACTAGGAGTGCTATTTAGGAAACTAAATAAGCTGGAGTTTTTCTCAGCATCAAACCAATTGGCTATGTCACTTGGTCAGTTTTTATCTGAGAATAGATATACCAGATTGCCTGGGGAAATTAAACTTCTCCTCAGTAAGGGGAGGTGGGGGAATTCTGCTTGAATATTAATATTATTAGTATTCTTCAGAGCTGAAAAAAGCTATAAAATATTTACCACATGAAAGGGATATTGGCTAGCATACGGTTATGATTACTACAAAGATCAGGAAGTCTAACATTTTAGATTATAGGCTCTCCTGGGTAAAGAATCAAGTGACTTGTCACTCAAACACAGAAAACACACTGAAGCCAGCTTACAATGTTATCAAATTACCTGACCTTAGAATTCAATATTGATTTCAGATTCTTCTTAGTCTACTGTCTTCGTTTCCTTATTATAACTATAATGCAATTTTCTAATAGTGTTATTTCCTGTGACATTTTCTAATCATTGTCTACCGCATGCCCTGATTTTCCATCTTAGAGCAACATTAAATAAAATAGCATTAAAATGGCATTAACTAAAAAGAGCATTAAAATATAATGTTATCAGAACTCTCTGCAAACATAAGCAATAGTGTTTGGTATTAAAGAAAGATTTCAATATAACATCCTTTTTTTAAAAAAAAAAAAAAAGCCATGTTTGAGTAACAAATCTCCAATTAACTGGGTAGATATAGTCCTGTGGAAGCTCAACAATACTTCAGTTTTGTAAGATGGGAAAATTGTGTCTTACGGGCAAGATCTACACTGATAACTGTGTCAAGCAAGAAGTTGTCCTCAGAGATTTTAAATCATGCAATCCGCCCTTGCCTTTTCTAAAATTCTTCGAGTCCACCTCAGAGCATTGGGCTCCGTATTTCCTGAGTTCACAGGAAGATGTACTCTGAGCTCCCTGCTGCTATGAGGAACATAGCCCTTTACAAATCAGTCCGTGAATTATTTGTCTGTCTTCAGCAGCAGGAGGTTCAAGACTAAGCTAAGAAAAGTACCGATATTAGCATCTGAGGTTTTATCATTTTAAGAGCTGGGTTTTTTCTCAAAACTATTTTTCCAGGTAGCAAAATTACAGTGGACGTTAAAAGAGGTATATCCCAGTCATAAGCTGCTGTTACTGTAAATTCAAAGGGTGCATTGTATCTGTAATTTTTCCTGTTCCCTTGGAAAGATAAAATGGTAAGAAATTTTTTTCAATACAAATAAAAATATCAATGTAACATGCTCATAATTTTGCAGTCTCAGATAATAAATATTAGAATATTATTCTCACTCAGTAATTATAATTTTGAAATTAGCTGCAAATGAAATTATTAACTGAATTTTAAAAATGTCTGAAAAAGTTCAGTCTTTATGAATTAGTTCTAAATAATTGGTAGGGCCAGCGTCAGTAGCTGTTACTTATTCAGGATAGCATTTGCTCACACAAGAAGTCCCATTAACTTAATAAAATCATTGAGAATGTGCCACTCTGGAAATCAGACCACTGAGTTGTTGCAAGCCTAGTGATGTTGCTTTATTGAGCAGGGTGTGATCCTCCAGAACAGCTGCTACTGCAGAGCATCATTAATAGTACCAGACATGAACAAACAGTGATGCAGGTTCGAGATTGGCACCATCTTTGGACAACAGGGGAACGTTACGGTAACCTGTAAATATAATGACACTTTATTAGTGTATTAACCACAAACACAAGGGTTATGATGATCTACTATGCAAATAAGTCAAAATTTATGATTATCTAAACAACTCTTTAAAATAAACTGAAACAATGCAGAACCCAGATCCCATTTCTACTGTTTTTTTCCTCTACATATACAGTATTTCAATTCTGGCTTTTTTGGACACAGAGTGAAAAACTCCAGTGTCTTTCAGGATGTGGTGTTTTTTCAAACTGAAGACTTTTAGCCCATTTAACATCCAAAGATATTATTTGCTGCATGCATTGTTCTGATGGCAAATTAAATAACTTGTGAATCAACAGTGATAGTGCCTTAGAGAAGAATGATGTTGCAGCAGTAATGCACTGTCCAGCTGAGGCAGAAAAATGTGTAGTGTAAGGTCTTCTGCCATGACATCTTAAGTCTGTTAAGGATCTCCTTTTACATATGAGTGATTTTCAGTATCAGAGATAAGGCATGCCTCAGAAACTACATGTTCGTCTGGTTGTTGGAAGCATTTGGAGAAGCTATAGTTCTCAACTTCAAACTTAAATCAACTTACCTGCTCAAAAAACAAAACAATCCCCTCTCCAAAACCCCAAACCTGTATTGCTTTATATGACTGTAAATGTCTATTATTTCATAATAATAAACACTGTCACTTTTGATTTAAAAAAATGTTCTGCATTCTATCCATGTATATATAACTGCAGTCACTTAAGTATCTGTTATGAATAAGTATCTACGTTCAGAACTGCAGTTTTCAAAATCCTTCTTTAGGTGTGTCTGGATGTGTGTATAGTCTTTGGGCCCTTGTTTATTTGGGTTTGGATTTTCTTGATTCTTTTATATGACATGAAAGTTCACCTGGCATCTAAGATTCAGCTTCTGGGCAGCAGATATTAAAGCTGAGTCCAGGCAATATGCATTTGAGATCAACTTTTAGAGCATGCACACAGTATGTGGAAGACTTGATTTATTTCCTATCCAAAGATACACTTCAAGGACTAAGACTCATTTCTGAAGACTGTGTTCTAGCCCCTACCTAAAGAATATTCTACAAAGTGTCCTGAGAGAAGTAAAATTTCTTTTTTTATTGAAATTGTTCCAATTTGTATGAAATAATTAACTATTCATTGATCCAGTTAGAATAGCAGTAATAATAGAATTCCTGTCCTGTATTAGTATTCTACATGGCAGACTCATTGGGACAGGAACTGTAACTCAGGACCCCCCTCCTCTCGCCTTTAACCACCCAGCTAGAGAATTATTCTCACCTTCAGCCCCTCTGAGTATACCTACTTAATCACTGCATGAAAAATCAAGTATTGCTACAGGTGGGCAGCAAGCATTCTTCCCCAGTGTAATCTACAGCTGAGTTGGGAGGCTGCTGCTGGGGAAAGGAAGGCAGTGATGAGAAACATTTGATTCCTTTCAAGAGAAAATGCAGGGCAATGGCACAACTTTGTCCCACTGCCTGTCAAAAAAAAAAAAAAAAGATGTAAGCACTGTTCAGCTTTTGGAAGCAACTTGCCCTCAGGGGACACCTCAAGAGTATGAATCGTCGGGAAGCAGGGGCAGTCCTGAAGTGCAGATTAAAGCAATCAGAGCTGTGAAGAGTAAGATTTAAATCCTAACTCACTCTTCAGCATGGTTTAGACAGTTCTTTCCTAAGAAATCTAGGCTGTTGTGACTCCCTCGGTAAGACAGATTATTTTCCCCTTTCACCATTTAGGGAGCTTAGGTACCTAAAGCAAAACCATGGTTCCAGACCTGGAATCCAGAGGTCTCAGTGTTAAGCATTGCAATAAATTTTGAAATTATCTGTCAGTTCATCTCTTAGAAGCATTTTATTTATGCCTCTAGGCATCTTGATGGCATCTTACATTTTTTTACATTGTGTTGAGTGGGTCTTGGGGCAATTTGTTTGGCACTGTTTATAGTTTTTGTACCTACACTCATTTCCCAGCATTTTTAATACTCCACTTAAAAT